AAATGCTCTGTCTTACATATTGGCAAAAAAAATAATCAAAAAATAAAATACAAGCTGAATAGTCAAGACCTTGTTGAGGATCCAAACTCTGTCAAGGATCTTGGAATACTCATCTCTAATGAGTATTAAGTGCTAGAGCCCACTGTAACTACATAGCAAAAAAGGCATTAACAGTTGTTAACCTAATCCTACGTAGCTTTTTCTCTGGTAATATCACACTACTAACTAGGGATACAAAACATTTGCCAGACCAATACTCGAATACAGCTCATCAATCTGGAACCCCACATTACGTATCTGATATTAGCACAGTTGAGAAAGTCCAGAAATATTTCACAAGAAGAGTTCTCCACTCCTCTATTCATTGCAGAATACCTTATGCTACCAGACTCTAAATTCTAGACCTAGAAAACCTAGAACTACGCTGGCTTCAGTCCGATCTAAGTATAGTATATAAAATCATACATTGCAATGTGCTATACCGGTCAACGAATACTTTAACTTCAACCATAACAATACAAGAGCAAACAATAGATACAAACTCAAGGTAAACCGCACCAAACTTGATTGCAGGAAATACGACTTGAACAACAGAGTGGTCAATGTCTGGAATACTCTACCTGACTCTGTGGTTTCTTCCCCAAACCCCAAAAATTTTAACCTTAGACTTTCTACTATTGACTTCACCCTTTTCCTAAGAGGTCTGTAGGGGGCGTGCATAAGTGCACCACCGTGCCTACCGTCCCTGTCCTATTGTTTCTTTTATTTTTCTTATATGTACTCATTTCTTGTATTCATAACTATGTTTATCCTTATACCTATTATCTTGTAAGCGATTGACAAATCAAATAAATAAATAAGTAAGTAAGTAATAAACATTAGAACTTCTGAGAGTATCTAATTCCAGTCCACTTCAATTTGTTGATGTCTAAGAGAAAAATGTATAGTTGATTCAGTTCATTTTTTGCTATGCTGTTTTCCCATGCTCCTGCTTCTTACATTTCTTGCCCCCGCTGTGACTCTGTCTTTGCAGCTTTAGATTTTCTTTTCCCTATATGGCAACATTAGCAACTGGATGTCCCAAACAAAGGCTTTAATCTAGTCTCCACACAAAGAGCATTAATAAGTAAAATCATCTGATACTATATCGACTATACTGTCCACAAATTGGTAAAAGATCCCTTAGACTTGGAGGGTCCAAGAGGGATATGCAACTCTGAGGGTGATTGGTGACATGAGAGTTTTCCCTCCCACTATTTAATTTTTTAATAGCTCACTTTTAACTTTGTTCGTAATTCTGTTTTAACAGTTTTTATTTATTTAAAAAAGGTGAGATGGGTGGTGTAGAAAAGCAATCAATAAATAAAACCCAAGAGCAATTTACCACATCCCTTTCCAAGGTATGAAATTATGCCTTTGTTATTGGCCCCAGAGCGTCTTCTGATTTGCTGCTGTCCAATATAAATGTCTGTTTGTTTTAGCTGGGATTACTTCCACACACGTTGGGTGGCCCTCTTGGGAGTACACTCCTGGCACTCATCCCTCCCAGGAACAACCCCAGACTCACTGTGAGGCAGCATAGGAGAATTTGAGAATTTACTGTTCACAATTATAGCAGGGCTTTTATCTAATAAAGTGTAGCATCTAATTCACAGCAGTTTTCTTCTACTATATTGTCAAATTTAAAAAGGTGCTTTTTCAGAAAGAGTAGGCACTTGTAGAGTGGGGACTCTTGGGAACCACTTATTTGCATCCAATTATAGTATATTGTGACTTACACAGACTATACTATTCTCTGAGGGCCTCTTCCTCCATAGATGTGTTCTTGGTGGGTCAATTTTTGTCCATAATTTTGTAATAACATTTTGTGTATCCACATTCTCATTAATAGCCTGCAGGTTTTGATAATTTAGAGTAGAATATTTATTGAGGTGGTCTAGTTTGTATAAGGTTCACTAGATATATGGCAGCTTGTCTTACTGTTATCTTTTCCCATGTATATACAGAAGCATTCTAATTATTCTATTTTGCTTCATTATTTTAATTTTGGTCTACAACAGGGGTGTCAAACTCAATTTAATTGAGGGCCATATCAGGGTTGTGTTTCACCTTGGGAGGCTGGGGGGGCGTGGCCAGGGTGGGCATGGCCAACTTGATGCCCGTTTTTGGCCGTGACGGCATCCTGCATCCCTCTGCCAGCGAAAATGGAGCTACTGAACTCCATTTTTGTTGGCAGAGGCACCACGGGCGGTCCTTCGCTATATCCAGGGCCGCTCCACAGGCCAATCTAAGCACCCTGAGAGCCGGATTCAGCCTACGGGCCTTGAATTCCATACCTCTGGTCTACAACAATAGTAAAAGGTATTTGATTTGATTTTTTTTTTTTGCTGTATATTCTCAACATAATTTTTTAAATTAAGTTTATCAATTTTTAATTATGGTAAAAGATACATAAAGTCTTTTGGAAAAGTTCCCACAAATTCCAATCTCTAAACAGCTGCTTTCTCACCTCTGGATGGGATTACAGAAGATTAAGAACTGTAGCTCTAATGCACCTAGAAAGCACATTTTGGAGAAGAGAAACGTGTCAGAAAAAATAATCATGTTCCTTTTGGTACAGAGCCCCTGAATTAACTGGAAGTTAATCCTCAGGTATACTTCAAAACCTAGCAACATGTTTTAATCACTGGTTGGCTAGAAAGTTGTATGGGGGTGAAGGTGAGAAGGATGTTTATAATGAAATGGAGCACACAATGAATAATAGCAAAATCTGTCCCTTGCCCTATTTTCTTATGCTTTTTCCACCCTCTGTGATAGCTGATTTCTCCTGGTTGGCTTTGACTTCACTCCCATCCTCTGTTTTTCATTCTGTTATCAAAACAGCCACCCACGCAACTTGTTAATGAAATCATCAAACAAACATGTTATTCTGAAACAGGAGTGTTAGGTTTGTTCCATCCTGCCTGCTTTTTTCCTGGATGAACCTACTTTAGGATGTCTATCTAGCAAGGCCATGTGCATAGTGCATTGGATCAGAGCAGCCAGCTATCACAAAGGACACACAGACACACTAATAGAAATGGTATGAATACGAACCAACTGAAACGTACCAGGAAGAGAAAGGCTGTTTTAGAAATGCTAGAACAGTAAAAGGATGAGACAGAATTTGAAGTGTGCAACCAATAGTCTCTTTTATTTTTTTCTGCATATGAAATTTAAAACAAAGAATACTGCTAAAGCAGCAGCAAACACTCGGCAACAGTATCTGTGGGGGGAGCAGGATGGACAAAGCAGGGTTGCATCATAATGACAAACCCCACCCCACTCCGTCTCTTCTGCAAATGCACTGAGACCTTACACGAAAGCATGGCAGGAGTGGAGGTTGCAGTATGATGGCACATCAGAACCATTATTTTGACAAAAAGTTGCTGTTGACACCCATAAATGCAAGCTTATAAAAGTCTGCAAAGCCTATAAAGCGCATAGATCTAATATTAAAAGCTAAAGGCAATCAATATAGTAACTGAGCGGATCTTCATTTTTCTTCCCTTATTGATCATCCTCAATATCTTGGCCTGATAGATGTTCATGGTTCATATTTCATACCATTTCTGGTTTATTTGTTTTTTGCCTTCTCAATTTTGTAAGTCAAGGAAAAAGAATTTCCAACCCTCAGTGTCCTCCATATCTGTGACTGGATGGGACAGGAACCATGGTTTCGCCATACAGTATGCTTAACAAAGGTTCACTGAATGGCAATTCTCTCAGTTTACACATGCCAAACCACAAATAATGATTAAAATCACAATGGTTTGGTTCACTGGGTCCCCAAATGAAACCACAGTGATGTCAAAATGATAAGAACTGCAAAATACAATCACACCAAAGGCCACCCCTCCAAACTTGTGTCCTGACAAGGGATGCTAATTACATCATGCACATTATCATACCCTCCTCAGATACCATGTCACACAATAAACTAAATCTATACCAAGAAACTATTAAGATCCTAGTCTAAAAAAAAATTAGCTGTAATCCAGAGCCTGGGGCAAAGTGGTGGTGTTTAATTGGCTCAACTTTAATGCCTAATGCTGTAAATACTGTTTCCGGTAATGCCTACAGGAAACAAAATTAACATCCAAGTTGTTAATTGTTTATTATCAGAATAAATCTCACACTTCCTAATTGGAAACAAATGCCAGCTTTGTAGAATCTAATTCCAGAAAAGTCTGGAAATTTTCAGATAGTTTCATTTAGGGAACAAATGTGAGAAAGAACTGAATATGACAGAAAAAAATGAATTTCTCCCTGAAAGAGAGAGTTAGAATTCAAAAAAACAGAAGTTCATACAGAGGCAAATAACAAAGAAGTCATTGCACAGACCACAGCAGTGAGTCAGTCTGGTTTTGATATCATGGAAATTCCACTTTGGAGACTTTAGGACACACAGGCAGACAAGTGCTGTAAAATGAATTAGATGGGGCTTTTGGTAAGACCAAATTGCATGTCCCTTGCTTCTCTTCAAGACAAACCTGGGAAACTGTGACGAAGCCACTCACAGACGATGCTTAGGTAAACAATCTGCCCCTAGCAAATTGGATCTTATTCAGCAATAAGAATAATCGCCAATTTAACCCTATTGTGATCATCGCAACTGAAAAACACATTGCGTGCCTGGGGCCTTCCGGTTCAGGTAATGAAAGGTAATTTCTGCCACCCCTCCAACGGTGTCTTGATCACAACGACTACCTGCCCAAACCTGGCGCCCATTCGCTGTGTTGAACTACAACCCATTATTCCAAACAGTCCTGACTGCAAGCTAAGCGGGACTGATGAGAGCTGTAACGTCACCCAGCCGTGATTCAAACGAGACACAGGATCGCCGGTCCTTCGTCCCTGCCTTTAGCGGCAGCCTCGAGTACGTCAGCCGGTTCCACAGAAGAGGGCTGCTCACCCCACCGGCGCCCAACCAGCTCTTCCCTCCAACGTCTGTCACTCACCGCCGGGCGGCAGCAGGAAACCCAGAAGGACGAAAAGGCTCCAGAGGGGGCTCCAGGCGAAGGCCATCGTTCTCCTCCTTCTCCTCTTAGGCGAGGAAGCAGCTGCGCCGCAGTGACGACGACGACGACCCTTTCTGCCGTCTCTCCCTGCGCCGGCGTCTTGCAACGGGGCGTTCCTTTTGCCCGTCAAAGAGCTCCGCCCGCCACTCTGGAGAAGGGTGGACCTGCACGGATTTCTACTTAGGTTTCGCTTTCCGTTTTAGGGCAGCGGTGGCAGGACCCAGCGCCGCGTGTCCCGGGAGGCTGCGAAGCAACAGGGTCAAGTTCACCCGTCCGGGAGATGAAGCCACCGGGGTGCTATTGTGGCGCCAAACACGCACGAGGCGATTTGTGCAAGTGACACAGTTCAACTCGTGGCGCACACCTGTAGTCGTGACTTGGCCCTCACCTTTTTAGGCCAAACTTTATTACAATGCTGAACTGGCTTTTCCCTTTGCATTGCCGTTGTGGCAATGTGATTTATATAGCATGGCCTTCGGACTTTATCGTATGTACTAAGCCTATGGTGCTTTTCCTCTAAAAACAGTGATTAAATCACTCGTTAAGCAAATTAGGAGCTTGTTAATGTGTAGATCCAATCTCTGATGGTCTGCATCAAGCCCTTATCCATAATTAATTTACTTAAGCCTTTGTCTGGTTCTCACAGCACACTACTCCACGTTAACAATATGGAGTGGGATCATATAACTAAATTAAGGTAATTTTTAATTGACTACCTCCTAGTCAGGGGTCTCCAACCTTGGCAACTTCAAGCCTTGTGGACTTCAACTCCCAGAGTTTTTCAGGCAGCCGAGTTGAAGTCCACAATGCTTAAAGTTGCCAAGGTTGGAGACCCCTGTCCTAGTTCACTGTTGTTTGAACCACAACCACTCAGTGATCTCACACTGCACTATGCCAAAAAAAAATGTCTTAGTTTTTGGCTTACATGTACAGTAGTGGGGAATCCAGCCAAATTCAAGTTTAATTATGTCTTGGTTGCCTTGTGTGGCCCCAGCAAATTAGATTCCAAAGGTGTAGCAGCAAAGTCAATGCTTTTGGCGTGCAAAGCTATTTAAGTTATTAGACACTTAGCTACTACCCACCTTAGCGTCTCTATATTTTTCCATATTTCTGAGCACCATGGATATGAAAATAGAAGCAAATGTTTCACATACCTATGTCTAAATGTATACATAAAGATTCCAGATTTTCTAGCATTCATATCATGATAAATATTTCTGTCATAATCTTTTTTTGTGGGGTTGTAAACAATATCAAAACTTTTGGTAGTTTGCAATCTTTAATATAAAAGAAATAACATCTAAAGGAATTGTCCTCAGTGGACATTGCTTCCTTCAATTTTTCCCTGCTCAAATTCCTTCACTCTTCATTTCTCAAAATCAAGGCTGGCATAAAGGCAAAAAGATATAACATTCGAGCCTACTTACTTTGAATGTAGGAGAATCTTCTTTCTAGTCTCAATGTGAAAGGTGTCAGAATAGTTAGAGCAAGATGATGAGCTAATAAAAACAAGGAAGGAGCAGAAATTCTTATGTAAACAATATAGTGAAAAAATGCAAATGGGTTCAGGAAAAATTGCCTGCATTCTCATAAGTAGGGTATTTGGGGAAGATATGGTTCGATAAATAGGCTAATATATAATCACTAACATCAAACTCACTCAAACCTGGCCGGTAAAGTGATAAAAAAAAAAACCATATTTGGAGGTTTGTTCTCTGATGAGGACCAGGGGTGGGATTCAAATTTCTTAACCGGTTCTGTGGGTGTGGCTTGGTCATGTGACTGGGTGGGCATGGCTTGTATATAAATATTATAAATATTTATGTATATATTGATTTTTTTATAAAAAAAGAGCAACTTTTACCCAAAAGCAGGCAGGCAGATTGAGTTGCTCACAGAATCACAGATTCACTTAGAGATCTATTTATCTGCAATTGCCTACCTGAGTCTGCACTGAAAATTTCAGTCCTAAGGAAGGTTTGGCTCTGCTTTTAGATTAGCTAGAAAGCAAGAAATCCAAGGATTTCCTGCTTTCTAGCTAATCTAAATCTGGCAGAGCAGAACTGCTGATGGTGGTGGTGGTGGTGGGGGAGGAAAAATAGCAACTTACCAAACCAGGCAAGTTGGATGGCTCACATGCCAGGTAAGGAGTGAGTGGGCGGGAAGGGGAGGGGCCAGCCAGTGGAGCAATTTGCCGATTCTCCGAACTGGGGACAATCGTGTGTGCAGTGTTTGCAAGAAATCATCAGCTGTGCTGCCTGGACAGCTGCCAAGCGCTGCGCTCGGGTGCGCAACATTTGAAAATCCTCTTGTTTCCTGCTTTTTCAACTTCAGCTATGCCGCACAAAGCATCTGAGGAGGGAAACGCAGGGAATAAAGGACAGCCTAGAGCCCGGACAGGCAGGCGGGCCAAACACCGAACCGGTTTGGTGTCAACTGCTCTTCGCAGCTGCAGGTTCTATAGAACCGGGCTGAACTGGTAGCATCCCACCTCTGATGAGGACTGAACTACAACAATTGAAATACATGACAGTCTGAATTCTAAAATAAAAATACAGCTGAATTATTCAACTAGGCCATGTTACAAAGTCGCATGTGAAACTAAAGGAAGAGGAAAAAAAGGCCGCAAACGATCTTGATTACATATATACTTGGCTTATATTTGTGGGGTCCTTGTTCCCTGAGCTTTGTTGTTTTCTTGCAGATATTGCATGAAATATCTGCAAGAAGACAACCCAGCTCAAAGAGCACCAGGGACCCCACAATTTATTCAATCCTGAGGTACAAATATTCCCTTCTATCAGTCTTGTGTTTCTATTACATGAAGGCTGCAGAGGTCCTTCATCACACTGACTGGCAACTGCTCTGTTTCAATGCTCTCAGCCTGTGAAGGGAGGCAGAAACACCCAGGGAGGAAACAGAAAGGGAAGTGAGAAATTCAGAGTCACTCTGGAACTTGGACATTTTCACTGAGACAATGCAAAAAACAATGGAAAGAAATTCCACAGGTGCTTTTCCTAATCAGGAAAAATCACAATGAAAAATCACATAACGAACCAGTAGCCTTTTAATCTTCTAAAAATGCTTCTAGCTTTGCAAGTACCTTGTTGAAAGGTGTGCTACTGATATGTTTTCTTTTTTTAAAAAAAACAAGTTTTATTAATTTTTAAAACACACAAATTGTCATTATTCATTACATGTTTAAACCTTTTTTCATTGTCAATTTAACAAGTCAGATAAATTATAATTCTGTTTTAAACCATTTCCATATAACATACCAAAACCTCTTATTCAATTTCTCTTTACTTCTCTTTACTCTTATTCAATATCATTATTATTATTTCATCTATTTCTTTCTGACTTAGTTACCATTATTCTCAATCTATATTTCTACAATTTTTAACTAATTCTCCCCCCAAAAAGACATATACACACAACACACAAAACATAAAAAAAATCTTTTTGGAAAGTAACTTGGACCCAGGTATCTCTCTCTTCATGGACTTCAATTATATTCATGCTCATCTTACATATCATTACTTATTTTATTTACCATTCTAAGCCTTCTATATTAACTTCCCCACATATTTCACACTTCTTACTTCTATCTTAATTAATCATCTTAATTTGAATCATTATATTTATATCTTTTGTCCATTTTTTATCATCCCTTTGTCTCATTCCTTATAAAAAAAAAAATAAGTTTCTCCTGAAATCATTAATCAGAGTATGATGCCTTTCTATCTCCCCCCTAATAATCAAATTAATCTTTAAAATAATATCTAATACCCAATCCGATTTTGCTTGGTACATTCTATCTAACTAATACATCCAACATAATTAAGTACATAATTAGACAATAAATCCAAATATTAAAAAAAGATACTATAATAAAAATTTTATAATAACATCAATACCATAGTCTTATTAAACTCTTTAATTAAAACAATATTCTAAACCTCCCCTATTATTAAGTTTTAAAGCCAATCATTTTTAAACATTTTAACATTTTAATCTCTTATCAACTCTTAAATCATTACAATACTACCATCTCATCTTATGTACCTTGCAAAATCTTTTTTTTTTAAAAAAAAATTATATTTTATCCATTATCCAAAAAAAATTTCTTTTTTTCATTTAATTTCAAAACATTGTAGCTTTTCTCCACCTTTTCCCTTTCTTTCTTCTCCCAACAAACCTTTCTACCCCCCCTTCTTCTAGCCTCTGCCTTGCCAGCTTCCCTTCTCTGTCGTATTCCTTTTCCCTTTTGTTTACTATCATCATATTGGTTTTGCACCTTATTTTTCCCTTTCTTAAATGTTTTTTTAGATCTTAAGTCCTTAAGTCCTTTAATTTTCTTCTTTTCTCTTCTTTTCTTTCTCTCTTCCTTCTTTCTGGATCAAGTTCTGAGATTCATTAAAAATGGCTCCTTTCTTTCTTTCTTGTTCCTCTGCTGTCTTCATCTGTTGTAATGTTTGTTGATAATTAATAAGCGCCATTTCTAAGAAAAGGAAAGCTTCTTCCACACCATCTTTACCATTTTTTTTTGCTTGTTCATATTCTTTTCTTAGTTCCTCAACAGAAAGAGCCATTATAAATCTTTTCTTTTCTTTTCCCCTTCTTTCTTCTTACAACAACCAGAATATTCAAAAGAAAATAAAAAAAAATAAAACAGTCCCAAAGTTATCAGTCAGTCCAAACCAAGGCAGAGTTCTCACTTTCTCCTTCTGGGGTAATATCAATCCAAGAGAAAGAAAGTCCAAATCTGTTTAAAATCTTATTGCAATATATTCTAGTCTTCAAATCCTTAAGGCATCTGCTCCAACAAAGTCTTAGCATACAAATGTTTTCTTTTTAATCCTCTCTCTTCCCACTCATCGCTTAAAACCAATTTTCACCTAAAAGAAATAGGTTTCTTAATATCCAGTTATTTATTCCGTAGGAAAAGAGGGAAAGCTATCCTTTCAGCACCTTCAAACAGCTGCTTTTTTCCTCTTCTGGCAGGTATTATTCAGAAAGTCATACTTTTCAGGAATTTTATTAGATATGTCTTAGAGTCCTAGGAGCCAAGAAAAACTTTCTCCTCTCAATCACTTTCTCCACTTCCTCCT